CTCCTTAGGGTCCCTACTGTAGCTCTATATATACAGGATTAGGCTCATGGAAGAGAACAAAACAATCCCATAATCCTTGGGAAACGTCCAGCCCTCTCTTTCTCTCTCTTCCAAGGAGTTCTTCTATTTCTTGTGTTCCACTGATACAAGATCTAGGAAGCTGTTTGAGAATACAGTAGAAGATCTTAAGGTATATAGAGATTCCAATCATACATCCAAACCGGAGACCAAAACCAGCAAGTGACCATATCACGACGACAAGGACGACGAGACGAAGAGATCGCCGTCGAGATCACCGCCGTACGCCGCCGCACGCGCCGCCACGCGCCGCCGGAGGTTTCCAGCTGCCGAGGATAACGCGCGCGCGTGAGAGCGCGTGAACGCTCCATTTTTTGACCGGTCAACACCGTTGACTTCGCCGTGACGTCAGCTTTCTGGATTGGTCAAGATTGTTCGATTCCGAGAAGATTTGATTTGCGGTCAACTGTCCGGGCCAGCCAGATCTACATAAATTTTAAGCAGTAAGTTTTCTTCATCAAACCTTTAGATCCACTGCGCATAGGTTTATGTTGAATGTTTGTCCGTGATTTGTGCATATCGAGATCCTCGTGGGTTCCAACAGCCTCGTGGGTCAGAATGTTTGTTTCTTTTGCCGCTAGCCAGGTCACTTCAGCACCAACTGTCCAGAACGACTGTAACAACAACCGCAACAACGTCAACCACCACAACAACCTCAACAACAGCAGCTCAGGCAACAACCACAACGACCACAACAACAGCAACGCGGTAGACAGCAGGCCCGCGTCTTTGCAGTTGATCAGAGGGAGGCCGACCAGCACCCAGGTACCATGTATGGGATGATTATTCTTAATGATGTGCCTGTCTATGGCTTATTTGATATCGGAGCAACCCATTCTTTTATATCACGTCGTGTTGGAACCCACGAGGACCTCGATATGCACAAATCACAGACAAACATTCAACATAAACCTATGCGCAGCGGATCTAAAGGTTTGATGAAGAAAACTTACTGCTTAAAATTTATGTAGATCTGGCTGGCCCGGACAGTTGACCGTAAATCAAATCTTCTCGGAATCGAACAAACTTGACCAATCCAGAAAGATGACGTCACGGCGAAGTCAACGGCGTTGACCGATCGGAAAAAGCTCGATTCACGCGCTCTCACGCGCGCGCGTTGTCCTCGGCTGCTGGAACCTTCCGGCGGCGCGTGGAGGCGCGTGAGGAGTCAGACGGCGGCGATCTCGACGGCGATCTCTTCGTGTCGTCGTCCTGGTCGTCGTGGTATGGTCACTTGTTGGTTTTGGTCTCCGGTTTGGA